CGCAGAGCCCTGGGCATCAGCAGCGTCTTCCTCCAGGGCTTGCGTAGCTCCGCCGCCACTGTGCCCCTGGCCCCGGGGCTGGAGAAGGCCAGGGGTCTCTCCTACGAAAGCCTAAATGGCTCCTTGGTGGAGTACATCGAGAAGGTGCGAGCCCTCGAGCAGGTCAACCACGAGCTGGAGGAGCACATCAGAGTCTACCTGGACAAGAAAGCGGCCAGCGTGGGCAGCTGGCGAGCGCTGCGGGAGAACTGGGAGGCGATTTACCATCAGGTGAGCGTCGGAGCACTTTTGGCAGCCAGGGGTACAGGGGGGGAGCTTCACGCGTCATTAGCAGCCCTGAGCAGCGAGGGTTGATGCTGATGATGAATGCCGCCTGGTTTCAAGGCGTGGTGCCCTAGACGGAGGGGTTTGAATCTATCTTCATGATAATTAGCATTAGCATTTCACAGCGTGCTGTGGAAAATGCCTATTAAGCAGGAGAATTGCCTTGGGCGTCCTGCGCATGGGGGCGACTGAAATGCACCCCAAGGGGCAATAGTCTGGGCTGATTAAAATGGGTGAGGTTTTTTTTTCCTTATTTTTTTTTTCTTAGCTGTGTTTATTATATTGAGCATAAAAATTATCAAAAGAAAACTGCTAGGACTGAATTAGTTTATCCCCCAACATGATATCATTACAAGCATGTTGTGGTTTGGTTTCTTTTTTAATTAGCAATTCAGTTTTTTACTTTATTCCCTTGTTTGCTTAATCACATTTTCAAAAGCCCTGTTTATTTAAAAATAATAATTACATGACTACAAATGAGAGACTCCTTTCCTTCCCTTTGTTGCTACCCCACCACCCCTTACTCCCACCTTCTCCGTATGGCGCAGGCTGTGGGTAGTTCAGGAAAGTGTTTATTGTGGGGGTGCAAAAAGGTGTTCGCGTTGACCTCGTGGACAAGAAATAGTTCCTTTTGCTGACCAGTAAGACCAGTAAAACTTTGCAGGCTGATGTCTTGCTCACAGTGAACACAGGGCTCTGTCTCCCGAGGTCTCGGTGCACCTTGCACGTCCCAGCTTCTCAGCTCCGAGCCATCGGGAGTGAACGAGACCCCAAATTGCTGGAGCCTGGCATCTTGCACATCTCATCCCAGCAGCACTTGTGCAGGCACAGAAAATGCCGCCGGTGGGACTTCAGAAAGCCTGAAAGTCAAATTCCCCACGACAACTGTATGTTTTACCTCGGGCTGGCCAGAGTTTTACTTGTCATGGGAAAGAGGGTGTATTTTTACAGTGCGCTGCATTTTAGGGCAGGTCTTCGGCCAGACCACTACAAATGTCATCTGAACCCTGAATGTGGTGGCATAAGCTGTTGTACAAGGATCACACCAGCAGAAACATCCAGTTAAGCACCAACTTGTAAAGTTGTTGTCTTTTTGTATTGGTAAATGTCACTGTTGTCGCTAATCCTATACAGCTTCCTGAAGGGACCGGCTGCTGAAGGCAATGGCTGCTTTGAACCTGGGGTGTTTACAAAAAGCCATACCCTCAAACCCATCATCTTGCTGGGGTGGATAGGGACTTCGATGTGAGATACGTGTTAATACTTTGCATCTGCCATCCTGCATTTTCCAGATGAGTGTCCCATTTTGCAGTTGTAGACCTGATCTGTAAACCTGCTGGTGTTTATGGTTAAGATCAAGAAAGTAGGACTGCAGGTACGTTAGGAAGGACTGTTTGATTTTCTTTATATGAAACACCAGCACTGCAGTGCAGATGAACCTACTCATGTAATAGTTTTTCATCCAAATTGCTTTTCTTTTAAGCTTTCTTTACATTGTCATCCTGCCCCCTTGCCTCTACCTCCCTTTCTTATGAATAAATAAGAGCAGCTCATAATGAAATCTATCTTGGGCTTTTCCTATATAAAAGCAGGAAAATAAAGCTATGTAGTAATAGCGTTTGCAAGTATCATAGAAAATAAGAGGAAAAGATTAGCATTGTCTATATCTATTTAACCATTAAGAAAATAAATAAACATTTAACACATTAGAAAATACATAAAGTTTTACAAATTACTTCAGTTAAATCAATAAAAGAAGCATCACTTACTAGGTTTTGACATTCTCAGCTGTAATCTGAGCTAAGTACAATTCTGACTAATAGGTTTCTTTGCTTTTTTTATATTAAGCATCTCACCAAAAAGGAAAGTAGGACCTCATCCAGCCCAAACACTGATTAACTCATTCATCCTGGAGCTAATTGGCAAAAGAGTGCCAGCATCAACACCAAAACTGTCACATTTAGTAAAACAACATCAAAATTGCTGCAGAAGCAACTGCAATCACTTTATGTGTCAGTACCCTTCTGCCACAACACATCCCAGCAGGAAAAGTCAAAGGTGTTCAGGAGCAAGGTGTAACAGAAATGAGAGATACCTGGAAGATGCATTTCTAGATGCAATTTTTGTCAATATATTTAGATTTTCTGTAGATGTCCCCATCTGACTCAATGTGACACATCATTTTTTCAGCTCCTGCAAAATCTGAGGTTTCATTTTGATTTTTGGCCAGCCCCATGCATTCAGCTGGGGTAGGGGGGGATAACCTGGCAGCTGTAAACCCCTCAGTGCCTGTCACATGAAGCTGTTGTGAAAGTTTTGGAGCAGAAAGCCACTTGAGCAGCCGCCTGGTTTAACCCAGACACTCAGGATAAGAGCAGCCTTTGTACAAGAAGCAGCAAAGAAAAATACACAATGTAGGGAGGGTGGTCTAGACAGGAGCCCCTTCCTTTTGCCCTGCTCATGAGAAGAAAAGGATACAGCCACGTAGGACTGTCCTGGTCCCAAAATCAGAAATGTGATGGGCCCATCTCCACAGTAGTGTAGGAGAGACCCCAGCAGGTCCAAGGTCCCGTTTCCCTCCTGCCCTTCCTGGGCTGTGCTCCAGCATCCCAGATTTCATGTGGTTATCCTCCCAGCAATAACAACTGGGTGCCAGCGTTTCTGACAAATACAGAGCTAGGGGAAAAAAATATGGCAACGAGTGGGTTGGAGGGTACAAGTGGAGGGTCCTTCAGGGGAAAAAACACTTGTGTTTCGCTGCAGTTGTCAGAGCTGTTACTGCAGCAGGGGATCGCTGATGGGAGCTGAATGATGGGAAGCCACTCTCCAACTCACAGCATTAATTATCCGCCTGGGCAGCTGGGTTTTAGCAGAGCAGGTGGACACACACTAATTGGGGCAGGCGCAAAATGGGAGGATTTCTGCAGGAAACCAGGGAAATGAGAAATCCTTGCGGAGAGGAATTCATGTGACAGAAATACAAATCCATCTCATTTTGCCCCCAGGGCGTACGCCTTTCCTCCAGGCTTCATCCCAGGCTTCTTGTGGAAAATTCTGTCTCTAATCAAATGTGTCTCTACTGCAGAATAGGAGGTTGTTTGTAAGGGCAATTCCTTCCCAGGGAGCATGGCAGCACCAGGGAAAAGTGGACGGTTAAAATAGTCTCAGCAAGGAGCACAGTTCAGATCACAGGAGTAAACACAAAAGCAGAAGAAGGAGCCAACATCCTGGACCAGTTCTATCACTGCTGTGAACCCTGTGCATGGTTGGGAGCATTTGAAAGATCACCGGAGTTTTTCTATAGAGATACTTTTATTTGCACCTGGCCTTACTGTCAGCATTAATGTTAAACCCAGAGAATACACAGGACTGGCAGCCTGAGGAGTCACATTTGGACTCGCACCCAGTAATCATTTATTTGCTACGGAGCCAGAAGAGCCACTGAGAATTATCTGTAACACACTCAAACATAACGCAGTGCGTGATGAGTGTCTGTAAATGGGCGAAACAGCCTTCTGTTGGGCACAACAAACTCACCCAAAATGGCACAGAGCTTGGTCCACCACCATACAGAGGATGGCAATAAATTAGGTTTAATTAATGGCCTCTTAGCCACCTCCAACAGCATAACCTTGGACCACCTTCCCATACAGCTGTGAGGTGGGGGGGGGGGGGAAGGTTTTCTTCTTGTGCTTAGGCAACATCACAGTTTTTATAGATCGTTTCTTTAGGAGGTATCCCTGCTTTGAGAACCAGGTATTCTTTGATGTAGTCCTGTTTACTTACAAAATATTCAATGTATAAGTGAAGTCATGATTCCCTGGATGCAGCAGGAAGCAAAGGACCCATTAATCTTCCCAGCCCCTCACCAGGTATCACCTTTCCCAAGGTGATTCAACTGATGCCACTCTCGCTGCCTTTGGGTTTTCCTCCTTCAGGCTCTGAGAAGGGGTCAACACGGAAAGCATGAACAAAATATTACGAATGTTCTGCTTGGTATCTAAGCAGCAGGCAATGGGCTGCCTGCTTTTAGCCTGATTTAGCTGGTAATTACTATGTCTTGGAGGCAATGGGCTGATCTCAACCATTTCCTCCTGCGTGTGGAAGGAATGACTAGGCTGGCATCTTCTGTTCTTTCTCCATGGAGGCATCATTTGCTTTGATTGAAGTGAACTTAAAAGCCAGATAATTTTCCATTACATGAATAATTAAACCATGAGATTCATTATCGCAGGCCACACCTGAGACCACAGATTCAGCAGCGTTCAGAAAGGATTTAGGCATTTGTAGGAATAGCAAAACTATACAAAGCTATCAATAAAGCACAGCTAAGAATCTGAAAGGCGTGGTAAATCTTGCAATCCCAAACTTGGTCCAATCTCTGTTAAACATCAAAAGTTGCCAGTCACCAGGGATAAGTTCTCCCAATAAGCATCGGTATCATATCATGCTTTAGCAAGGCTACAAACTCCCTCGAAGCAGCTGGTTTTCCTTGTTGCCAGTCGTAACCCAGTCAACAGGCCAGTATGTTGATGCAGATTTTGGTAAGATTTTTTTTCTAAAAATTAAAATAGCATTTTCATGTCCATAAAACCACAGTGAAATCAAATAAAATTGTTGCTGCTTTCTAGTTAACACAAATACTCAGTGTTAATTCAAGAGGTGAAAAAAATAATGCTCAAAAGGTGTATGTGCACCACAGATCTAAGTATTGGAAGACAACACGGAACTTAGAGGAGCTGCTATTAATAATAATATTTGCATTTTGATAACACTTCCTATCTTGGCCATTTAGATGCCACATGAGCATCAGTGAATTAAGCCTCCCAGTGTTGCCTTCTGCTTTGGAGGCCATGTCCAAGTGCTTGCAGCATTGCGAGCCCTCTCATTTCCACTGGACACAAAGAAGGGCATTTCCAAAACTGCTGCATCATGCGTTTTAGTACGTGTGTCAGCAGAGTGGCTACAGATCCGTCTCAATAATGCTGCGTGTTTGCATCCAGCTGTTGATTTTTAGGAGAATTAAATCAAACAAAAAAGCCACTAGATGGAAGTCTTACATCTCTTCTTCTTAAGCCTAGGGAAAGGATTTCACAGCTCATGCAAATCAGAGATAATTTTTCAGGAAACCTGGTTTCTACATAGAAACTACCGTGTAATTATTTATCCCTCAGGTTCACTGTCAGATTTAAAGCATACACAGCTGATCTCCAGGAGAGCTGACAGGCCCTGAAATGCCTGCTGGCTCCCACTGCAACGCTCATCGCTGAAGCCTTCCAAACATTAGATGAGTTTATACCATTCTTATTTACACAGCACAGTTCAGGTTTAGGTGCAGTTTTGTAAAGCTCTGGATTTTCTCACTGAGTATCTGGCATCAGCAGCTGGTCTATGAAGAGGAGAGTTGGGTATTGACCGAGTCCTCAGGAGTATCATACCAGGGCTCTGGTAGAGACATCCACTTGTGGGGCAGCTAAGAAACCACATCAAATGCTTCAACAAAGCCACAAGATTACTACTGAAAAGCTCTTTCAAAAAACAGGTTTCCTCTGCACAGAGGCAGAAATCCAGGCAGTGGATTTCCATCAGCTACTCCCTGCTTCTACATTCGATGCAGCCCAAAAGCCATTTTTACACAGAATTCAGCCTCTAAACTTAGCCATTAACATACCTTTGAGTGGCACTGGGCAGCTCACAGGATTTAGTGTTACTTTTACTTGTGAGATGTTCCCAATTCCCTCAAAGACATCCATTTTCATCAGACTTTAGGTCAAATACTGTAACCGCAGGGGCTCACTGCCAGAGGCAAATGGGCTTGTTTTGACAGGACAGGGCAAATCATGGGGCAGCATTTTGGTTCCTTGATTTGGGTCAGGAAAAAAAATCAAAGCTTCTCTGATAATCCACACATTTACGAGTTGGCAGGAAGACTAAATACTTTCTCTAGGAAAAAAAACCCAACCAAAATTCAGAGCTTGGGTCCAAGAACAGCCTCTACCTCCATGCTGCTGCCATGTGAAAACTAAATATCTTTTCTCCATCTTTCAGGAGAAACTCAGGTCTCCTGGTGCAAGGGGACCCAAGGATGGCTGAGCAGCATGGTCCCAAAATCCTGGCTCTGCCCAGCCACTCTGAAATGTGGCAGAAGGGACAAGCCAGGGGCTGAGGAGTTAGGCCAGTGCTGGCAAAGCAGGGTTGCAAAAAAGCAGAAAGAAGGAATAAAAGGGGTTGAACGATGAAGAGCCAGTGCTGTGTGCAGAGCACACAAAGGTCTTCTGTACTTGTGTGCTGCATGGTCGCACTGGCTGCTGGCCGTCAGATACCATCTCTTTGCCCACACCTGTGGCTTTCATAAGATCTCCAACTCCTGTGTTTTCTAGGTTTCTCATGCCGAAAACGCATCCTGTTTTGCCCAGTGGCAACATGTACAGGATCTCTCCCCTCTGTCTAGATGCTCTTTTCAGGAAACATGTTGGAACTGTATGCCCTTGAGATGGCCTGTCACTCTATTACACTCGTGGGAATTGGCTGAGAAATCCCAGTTATTTAAGAAAAATCGGCCACGTGGGCAATGGCCTGAGCTCTGCTGCCTTTGGAAGCCAAGCAGGAACAGAGCTCCAGCCCCAGGCTTCCAGCCACAACCACCTCTTCTTTTTGTTCCCAACAGTAGAAAGAAGTAAGCAAACCACCTTATTTAAACTCTTGTGCCTCTTCAGATTTAAAAGATGCAGTGTTTTTTAACTTTATGACCTATTGGGAACTTCTCATTGTGGGGAGAAGGTTACTCCTCATCAGGTGCCTTCGCATACTTCATATTTGTTTGTCCAAGCATTTGTAAATCATTTGTAAGGCATCAGCAAGCCACTTTTCATGAGGATAGATGTTAATTACCACATATAAATGCTTCAGCCTTGCATGTCCACCTCCACCCCATCACCCCGCAGCAGGCCATATAGCAGGTAGGACCATACTAAGGCAATGATCCCACTTGAGATAACTTGCCTGGATGCAGCCCTGATGTCTCCACATTGCATGGCCTGTTTCACCTCGGGGGAGCAGAGTGCTTCAGGGGATTTGCAATCTCATTTAGTTGCAGACTTAACTATCTAAAGAAAGATTTCTGCTTCAAGAAATCTCCTGGCCCACTTAAAAAGCTGCTTTATTTAATTGATGAGGTGGTTTAGTTTCAACTGCAAAATCTCCATGGGTATCTCCTGAAAAAGACCAAAGAGATGTTCAGTTTAGCTCCTCCAGAGCAACGGCATGGACCACGGTATGGCGGGAGCCCCCACATAGTTATGCACAGAGATGATTGCTCTATGCGTGCTACCGAATTCAGCACGTCTTGGGCCACCTCCATAGCTCAGTGCATGTGTGACTCCAGGGCAGGCAGTGGTCTTTTTTTTTACCTTTTTGGTGTTTTATATAACCCTCTTGAATCACAGCAAGCTGCTGTTTTACAAGTATTTCAGGCTTGCTTACCCCTCAAGCACCTCCTGGGCATTAAAGATACCCCCCAGGAGCCATAGGAATGACTCCACAGTCTTATTTGCACAATCTTTCCAAAGCATTTCACATTCAGTGTAATAATCTTTGAAGACTGCCTGCTTCTCAGGTCTCCTATCTATCGCAAGAGCTTACAGGATCCCATCAGAGAAGAAAAACGATGCTCTGGGAGCTGAGGACGGCTCGCAGGCGGCAAAAGCAACGAGTATTCCTCATCTCACCGGAGAGGATGACCCTGAAGAGGACTGCTGACATGGGAAGTAGAATAGGAACTGCATAAGTGCTACTTAAACTATATCTAGAAAATATAAGTGGGACTTAAATGATGAACGTACCTTGCACGCAGCAATGAATTTTGCCCCTTGCGACCAGCTGACGATCAGAATAAATGTGTTTCCACAAGAAGATGAATGCTTAGGAGCAATGAACAGTTTGGTGACAAATTGCAGCCTGTTAGCAGAGAAATTGTGAAATTATATGTACAAAATTCATTGATTAAATTAGCTGGAATGAGTCACTTGAACAGCCCTAGGCTAAAGGATTATTTTCAGAATGAAAGCTGTGAATCTGCTTAAGATACATGTGCAGTGCATGGAGCGAACGTGCTGAAACTCTTCATTGCTTGAGCTCTCTTGTCATTTTCTTCTAGGTAGGCGAAGCAGTCCTTGAAAATGCTCGTCTTATGCTGCACACCGAGAACATCCAAGCCTGTGCTGAAGATTTTAAAGACAGGTAGTCTTGTGGTGGCACCTAGCTAGCCACTTCCTTTGAAACTTACTCTATAGGGGAGCAATGCTTAGTGAGTAGAATGGGCTCGTTCTTTTAAGTTGAATATTCAACCTCCTGATTTGGCAGGACGGTTGTAACAGCAAAATTATGATGATGATAACATTATTTTGGAAGATTTTTGAAGATTCATAGTAACAAAAATGTGCACTAGCAAAATTACCTAAGGTATTCCTTGATATGCAGTCACTGATCTCTTCCTGAGAGGTCAGTGTTCATCCCAATCTGGGTTGACATTTTGTAAAGGCAAACTTCCATGTGTTTTTTAATTTTAATTTTCAGTACCACACAAGTGATTTTGAAAGTAACAGTCATTCTGCTGCAGCAGCTGAAGAACAAAAATTGTACCACTACAATGTCAGCATGGGAGCGTTAGATAAGAAAACAGAAATGGGCTGCACTGATTTTCTTTGTCTTTACTGAGATAAATGAATAGTAAAAGAAGATCTTAAATACTGGAAAACTAGGCTTTTAATGTCTTTCTGTTTGCAAAGCCTAATACTAATGTACATGAGTGCATGGAGCTCTTTAAATTTTACTCAGAAGGCCTGATGATCCTTTTAGCTTGTACTGGTAATGGACTTGTTCATTTACAAATAGCTTTTTGCAAGATCTAACACACAAACTGTATTTCAAACTAATTGATTTTTATTTCCTGTAATTTTTATCATCCTTTAAACTTCTGTGTTTCTCTCTGGTTTATTTTATTTAATCATATCAACTTGTGTGTTAATGTTCTTAGGTTCGCCTTTATTTCAGAAAGGTACAACTCTGAGAAACCCATTTTGTGGCTTTGCATTCAGCAAACACTCATATTTTACGTAGTTTTAAAAACTACTTTTTTAAAATGTCAGCTGACTTGGACAAGCAGCCTACATAACAAAACCAATGTCAAATCAGCCCACTGCACAGTAAATGCTCCTAGTTCTCACTGGGGTCAGCTGCCACTTTCCCAAGCTGTTGAATTCCAAGCAACGGAGGTGGCTCTCAAGGGGCAGAGTGCAGGACTTGTTGATGAAGCTGGCTCCCATCCAACCTGCCACCCCCCCTATCTAACCTCCCTGGCCACCAAGTCCCCAAATGGCCTGAGTTTGACACAAAAGCCTCCCACTCAAGGAGATTTGCCACGCAACTCGGCCACATTTTCAATAGAAAGCCTAAAATGAGAAGGTGCGAACAAGAGCGACACAGCAAGCAGCGCTGTAGAATAGCAACTGCCCACCACAATTGTCCCTACCATTGCATTCATGGTTTAGAAATGAGCCATTTGCTTTAACAGCAGTTCTAGTTGGCAAATCAACCACTCAAATTTCCTATTTATTTTGATACAACTAGGATTTGGTCTTAAGCATGGGCTGGGACTCTGGAACATAGATCAGATGTCTATCAGCATATTCATTAGTAAAAGTAATGCTCGATGCATGTGTGTTTTCTTTAACCATAGCTTTGAAAAGTTTTTATGTGCACAAATCATCAGTTATTCTTATTTTACAGCCAAGCAAACAGAGAAAACATCATCCATAATAATACTGTATACGAACACCAGATCTAGCAAGAGGCCACATGCCTTTCCATGTTTATTCAGGAATCCTATCAGGCTGATAACCACTGTAGCGCAGGCTGCTAACTTGGCCTCTTTTATTGCACTCTGAGTTAATGACAGGGTACTTCAGGCAGTTAAATTGAAGTATAGCAAGACAAGGTGAGAGCAAAGTGTATCTTCTGTGTTTCTGTGCCTCTGTCTGGGACACATGAGCTAATTAGCACAATGGTGTCATTTTTAAAAAATGCAGATGTTTCTTGCTGAGCTGTGCTGTACTAAGGATTTTGTTGGGTTTTTTTTTTTCTTTTTCTCTGCAGGTATGAAAATGAGCAGCCATTCAGAAAAGCAGTGGAAGATGAAATTAATTCCCTGTATAAAGTGATTGATGATGCTCATTTGACTAAAATGGATCTGGAGAGTCAGATAGAGAGCATGAAGGAAGAACTAACTTTGCTGTCAAAGAATCATGAAGAAGTAAGTCCAGACTTGGGACACTGCAGAGCCAATGTGTGCCTGCTTCACCGGGTTGGTATCATACCTCTAGGGCAAGGCAGGCACTAGAGCGCTCCGTCTGCTGTGTCTGTGCGGCGGGATTCTCCTGAAATCTGCTCCCATTTCTCTCTTCTCTGTTAACTTAAAGCACTAACCTCTGAGGAACGATCAAATTTCTGACATTGAAGTTTTAACTCTTTCTCGTCCAATATATATGACATGGAAGAGATGTCATCACTTCATTTCTTGCTAGACCACATGAGGGTCGTGGGTTTGCATGTTCACATATGTGGACATCTCAACAGTGAGGTCTGATCCTCAGCCAGAGATGTAAAGAAGATGCATGTGCAAGGAACAAGCTCTGGTCCTGCTGCACTAACGCTGAGCATTAACTCTTCGGCTCTTCTGAAAATACCCTGCTTGGGTTAGCAACCTGCTTGGTTCCCAAAATTGAGTCTCTCCTGAGCAACACACCACTAAAGCAAGTCACAGGGATGGGCAGCTGGAAGGGAAGTCCATTATTACCCAATCTTGCAATACTTTCCCACTTACTCATTTTATCCACCAGCACTCTTTGCATGAAGGTGACTTATTCCCTTCAGCAGAGGTTTCAGGATCGGGGCCAAATCAGCATCTTTACTGATAAGGGCTCAAATATGGAGCTACTGCTAATCAATCCCACAATAAGGGAGAGCAAGAAATAGTGCTGATTCCTCACAAGTAAAAGAGACGTTGAATTGAGATGTCTCAGGGAAGTGATGCACTGTCCTACCTTACATTTCTTACAGGTTGTTTTTCCAACCACAAGATTTCAGCAACATTCGCAGGCATATGGAGACTTGGCTTGCCAAGATGAGGTCGCTCCATCCTCTCCTGGCTTTCATGAGTCTAATCCCAAGGCTGGCATTTTGCAGCAAATAACCAGTGGCTTCATCACCACTGCATGGCACAAGAAAGATGGATGTTGTTTTAGATAAGAGGGAAAACAGAAAAGGGATAGAAATACACAAGATCCCCTTTAAAACTCAGTGTATTGCAATGATTGCTGTGAAACCAGGAAAGCCATCACTGATGCTGTTCTCTGCCCATATATGTGGGATAACGAAAACACCAGCTTTCCAACAGCTCCTCTCACTCCACATTTAGGCAGTGAGGAGCCATTGCAGGGTGAAGGATGCTCCTTTCTTTACCCATTGTGGGTACCTGAGCATTCGCAGAACTGCCTCAGCACAGGCCTGGCTGTCCCCGCAGCAGCACCGGGGAAGCTGCTCAAGAGGAGGCACAGAATAAAGGCTGGAAGCAACCATTGCAATTACTCCAGCTGAGATCTGGCACAATAAAGTCCCAAGGACTTCCTGCACTAATTCAAACCTTTCTTTCCTCCAGTGCGCCCACCAGGAAATCCACATCAAGTCCTTTTGAAGCTTTTGTGAACTTGGAGTGGGCACATTTAGAGGCTTTCATTCTTGCAGGCTCATAATTCATGTAATTCCCAACCGGTTTTTTTTCTCCAGTATTGTCACTGTCAGGGGCCATTGCTTACAGATACAATTCCCAAATGCCTTTACACTACTTTTTTTTTTTTTGCTTATGCCAATAGCACATATAAATAGATAGTTATAAAAAGATTGTGGTGCCAGACGGTTTCAGATAGATGTGCAAATCTGACTTATTCCTGTGTTCCTGAACACAATGTACAAGAGCTGTGTTACTTATAAGCATGCAATTCTAGACACACTAATTCTCTACTGCTTATGGGGTTTTGGTGCACTTTTATGTAAAGAAGGAAGAGTGCTCTTCATCTCACACATGCATCAAAGCACACATGGCTCACACAAGCTGCGAGGCTGTAGAACTCCTGCTGTTTTTTCACAACTTGTTGTATCTCCCTGTAGATGCATGCCTACATCTCCAGTGCACTAAGTCATTAATGTAGAGACACCTTTTGGGACCAAATTTAATTATTTTCTCTGTTTGTGGCACCAAAGGAGCTCTTCCTTGAGCCTCTCTGAAGCTGCTGCTCAATTGTCCAGTTAACCTTCTTTTATGTCTGTTATTTTTTTGTTCAAGGATGTGAAGGTATTATACAAGCAGCTTGCTGGATCTCAGCTGGAAGATCTTGATGTTCCCGTGGGAAGTGGCCTGGATGACATCCTGGAAAAAATCAGAATCCACTGGGAGAGAGACATTGAAAAGAATCGCGCTGAGACAGGTGTCCTGCTGCGTACCAAGGTAAGCGCTCTGAAACCCATCCTAACATTACAGGATTTGAAGCAAACACAAAATCTGTCAAATATTCTGCAGTAACATTGAGGGTTGAGTGTTTGCGTTTCTTTTTTTGAAACAAAAAAGATGTTAACAATCTAAAGGATTTTGGTCCAAGTCCATGGGAAAATAAACTCATAAATATCAGTTGCTTTCTTGGGATGCACGGAGTTAAGCAGAAGTGGAAATGGCCCTGCTGATATCAGAGGTATCTGTGGGAGCCTTCTAAAGGCTCTGAAATGTTGGCTAAGAAAAAGAAACTTCACTAGCTGATACCTTCTGTGTCGGATGAGCCACAGTTGTTACCCTTCTTACTAGGGCCATTCCTCCACTGAACAATTTACAGGGATCTATAAATCAAAAGAGCAAAACACATTGCTTTACACTAATTACACAGCTACAGAGCCCTTGTGGGTTTGTCCTTGAAATTGTTTCCTTTGGCAGCAGTGGGAAAACTGGATATTAACTTAGAAATTAAAAGTGATGATAACAGCCTTTAAAAGTTCTCTCCTCTCCCAATGCTGAGTCTGAAACACTCTTTTAATGCAGCTTTTTCTCTGTCATGGAAGGATCACTCATTTTCCAAAGTGGCTGGCTGAAATAAGTATTTTTGCAGAGCTGAAGCATTAAGTTCAGTGCACAATCCTGTATTTTAGTAGCCATCTCCTTCAGAGTTGGCTATTACAGCAGAGCATGGCACAGCAAATCATAACTACAGCTGTGCTACAGAAATATTTAACAAGAACAGTCCCTCCCTTCCATGGTACAGAGACGCCGTGAGAGGAGAAGGGGGAGTGAAGGCAAACAACAAGAAGAAAAGCAAGAAATATGTTTGCATAGATAAATGCAAGCCCGGAGTAGGTGCTTATTTTCAAAACAAAGAAAAATCCTGTGACAACAGTGATACCAAAGATGCTAGGGAATGTACAAGAGGCCACCCAGAGGAGTTTATCCCAGAGAGCCCATCGAGTTTTGACCAGACTGTCACTAAGCAGAATTTTCCCAAGGTTAGTCTTTGGGGGCCTGATTTTCAGCTCGTGCAGCCCAAAGGAAGCCAGTGAAACAGTAATAAACAGCGTGACCCAGACGGTGCATCTATACAAAGCATATACAGCCCTGAAAAGCCAGAGCATCCTTAAGTAGCCTCCTCCACCTTTCTTAGAAAAATCTGTTCCTGGCCCACTGCTAGGTTTCAGCAAAATGAGCCTTACTCTGACAGCACCAAATTCTTCAGTGTCCCCACTTTCCTGTCCTGTTTGTTCCTGTTCCTCCTGTGCAAACACACCCTCACAACTTCTTTCTTCCCATTTCTTTCCTACCTTCAATATCTGGTCTTTCAGCTGCTCAGAGATATCATCTGGGGAGAAAACTGCCAGCTCATACTAGACTGAACATGTCTTTGGTTGTGGCCAGCACCAGATGTGGCAGAGAAACTCCAGTGACCAGACATAACTTATACCATCCCACCCTACTTACCCATATTAGTCTAAGCTCTTACTAGTTTCACTTGTTCCTGTTTTGGCTTTGCTTTTTTAATGGAAGGAAGAATGAGATTTCACAGATTTCTGGCAAGACCAGTTCTAAATCAGAGCAGGTTCTGGTATGATATTCTAGGGGTTTTTGCCCCCAAATACACCTCTCATTAAACCCAGATGATGCAGTTTTGTATCTCACACAGATTTATTCAGATTATTACTATTTATACAGATAACAAGAGTTCTGCTAATTGCGTCCAGCCTTTTTTTTTACTAAGCTTGTGGACTTACATCATCTTATGTGGATAAGTTTCGCCATTTGGTTATCCATAATGTGAAAAATTTGTCCTTGCTCTTTTGCAATATCAGAGGATGGACAGCAGTTCCCTCCTCTCCTTTGCTCTTCTTTACTGTTTTCTTTAATCTCTCTTTGTGAGTTTTCCTTGGTCCCTAATATTTTAATTTTCTTTCTCTGCACCCACTCTTTGGCATAGCTGTGATCAGTTGAGACCAAGGTATCTCAAATTGCATCCTAGGACTGACTTAGATGTCAGGGCAGTTATTTTCTGCCTAATTCTCCTGCCTCATTTGCTTTGTCTTCTGACTAGACTTGCAGCCTTGGCTACATTTTTCACGGGTATTCATTCATGCACCAAAACATACCAATTTATATTAATACATATCAGAGTTTCTTATGGGACTGTTTTAGATGAGTAAGTCACCTCAGAACTTGAGGCCATTGATTTGACCTATGCACTTTTTTGTCCATAATGCTCAAAACCTTTCCCTGAATTGGGAAAAGTTATTTAAACCCTTGTAAGCAAGCTGTTTAATATTTTCCCCTGAAAAATGCTTTACTTAATGATGTGGTGCTGTTCATTCATGAGGTTGGATTCCACACACCCCCCTCTGCTCATTGCTAATCTGTATTGTTTTCTGCTATCCATAAATCCTTCTGGTTCACAATTCATCCCAAAGGCAGTACACCTTGAGGCACCATGCTGTTAAACTTCTGTCAGAATGAAACTAGACCTTAATCCTCCTCTCCATGTCCTGTCTCTTGAGCAGCTGTGGATCCATGGCAATGCACTGCCCCAAGCACATGATTACACAGCTTCCTCTGTCACCCTCTACGCTCGAGCTCACAAAATGTCTTGAAAAACCTTGTGAATTATGTTGATTGTTTCTCCTTTCTCCGCTGCTTTGCTAACACGTTCCCAAAACTCTTAAGAGCTTATCAAAGCTGCTTTCCTTCTGCAGATACGATGCTGATCAGAGTCTGGATGTTGGTGGTGTGTCACAAATCATCCTTTCATTATCCTGATTCCATGTAAAACAGGCTAATGTGAAATCCTGCACTCTTGCACAATGCCTGGCTCAGAACTGTACAGCTGTGCTTGAAATTCACACATTCTTAGGAAACTCAGGCACCAAAATGATAAAGACTTAGGAAGATAATTTCATTCTCTCTCCATTGATCTAGCCGTTTGTGGGCACCACAATTCAGTATAGCCTATCCTTGTGTGTGCACTTTGTTGTGTCATCTTCAGTACTCAGGGCCTGATGCGGCCACCTCCATCTACTCCATCTGCCTGTTCTGGTAAGCTCAGTTCCAATTCAGAGCATGTTTTAACTGCCCCATAAAATACATGCATATCACTAGTGTCAGGTAGCTGTGACAGCTTAGGGTAGCTCCTGGAGGAGTTTCACCATCACCTGTGGTAAGAGCAAGTTCGATTTATAGGTAGCATTTGGGCCACCAGCACGTGAATGAACAGTATCAGGCTTCAGGTAATGAGTGTAGGCAATAAAAATAGATGCAAAGGCACCCTCTCTGCCTTATGTATCTCTTTAAATAGAGGCATTTATACTCTTTGTGCCATAATAACGTGCAGACTACACTTAGGAGACACAAGTTACTCCAGAGTGGCAGGTCCATGATCACTAGGCTGTGAAGCGCAAGCCCCTGTAGAGTACTTCTGGAAAATACAGGCTTTGTGCGATTTGCTGGAAAGGACACTTTTGGTGTTTGGATTGAAATTCAGCCCTCTGCAACACGGGTTCATAAATCCTAAGCTCTGCTTGAGACTTACTTAACTGGTACCTAAATGACATATTTGTCTTTGCTGACCTTTTGCACCTGAGTTTACTTCATTCACAGTGGCCAAGCTGTGGGTTCACATGATGGTACCCAAAAAGTTTGTAAATATTATTTCTGGTGTAGGGTGCCAGGTATTTTTTTTTTAATTTGTTCTTATGTTTAAAATTTAAGAATGCATAATCAGAAAAGCAAGAAAGACATGGTCAAGATGAATTTTCAGAGTGGAATTGAAATATTTTGCTTAGCTTAACTTTAGCACTAACCAACAGAAATGTAGGTTTTGACAGAAGAATTGTATTGGCTGGAGCCCAGAGCTCTGGATTGAAAACCTTGATCTCAGCCCTCATTACAACATACAGAAATTTTATTTTCACAATGTATCTTTTCCTTCACCTATTTTGAAGGGGCCTGAACTAAACACATATAAAAACCCACAACCAACAAGAGCATGAAATTGCATAAGAATATCTTAATTCAATTAACAGAATTTATTTTTCTGACCTTTGATATGACTTGTTCTCTGACTCATAGACTTCGATGTGAAAAAAAGCAAAGTGTGAATACTTCTGAAATCCAATACACTAAGTGAAAACACTTAACTTAAAAAAATATAGTATAGCTACGCAATGAAACATTACAGCAATGTTTTCTTTTTGAAGGTAATTTTAAACCTACTAGTATGAATGCTGAACAGCTTTTGTTGACATAAATTATATATACTTTTAGATATATAAGCCATTTTACAGTAAATGCATAGAAAATTTTGACACTAAGAACTATCCAGAATTGTTCAACACAGGGATTTAATATATAAGAATCAAACTTAAAATCAGAATAGCCACAAACTGTAAGAATATTGTCAGTTTTATATGTAAGGAAACTAAACCATAATTTGAGTGGGCTGTGATGACGGTCGCAATCTTTCACCAGCAACAGGCTGAAACGATGGCTGCTGTGCGCACCCAGGAGGAAGAGCTGGTGGAGGGCCTCAGAACCGAGTTCCACGAAACCGCCTGCAAAATACAGAGCTTGCAAGCAGAAACCGAATCTTTGAGAACCTTGGTAAGTCATGTTGGGTTTTCAACAGGTATATTCTGTGTGAATTCAACATGCCTTCTGAGGAAAACATTCCCATCTTGGGATGCAGATTTAAGAATAAAGCCCGTTTCCCAGCGGATATTGTTTCCAGAGACGCCAGATATTTCTGGGCTCTTCTTGATTGACGTGCTGCACTAAATGTGCTACATTTGACAACCAGGTCCCGAATTTCAATCTTCGGTGTCTTCATACTCAATAATAATTTCATGAGATTGCTGGGTGGGTAGCACTCGACAATGTGAAGAATATCTGCGCCTCGTAACCAAAGTAGTTCCACCTTTGTAATGGTAATACACATTTTTCAAAGTATCTAAAGAAAGGAATTCTCAAAATATTACATCTCCACTTAAGCATATTCAATAGAGGTGTCCAAAACTGAATAAAAATCACTATGAAGCATACAAAACCTGACTGTTTTAATGTCTGCTGTCCTGCCCTTACAGAAGAGGGGTCTGGAGAACTCTTTATATGACGCTAAGCACTGGCACGACATCGAACTGCAGAACCTAGGCTCTGTCATTTCCAAGCTGGAAGCAGAGATGGGAGAAATCAAAGTAGAAACCGAGCAGCAACAGCGGGATCGTGAAAATCTGCTGACCAGCAAACAACAGCTGGAGAAAGACATTGCTGCCTATCACTGCCTTCTGGATGGAGAAGAAAGCAGGTACTCATTAAAAGCAAGCGTGCCACAAGGGTGGAGAACACATGCGCTCTGGGAAGGGGCTGTGAGGCTGCTGGAAAGCAGAAGGCCTAGGGTGGGTCTCATGTTTTGTAAGGCTGGGAGGTAGCTGGTAAGGTTTGGACCAGTTGCCAAAGGGGAGGAACACCCCAATTCCAGCCGTGCCGAGGTGCCTGATGTATTGGAGATGAGCAGTTTCCAGCACTGCCGTGAAGGGACAGGGTTTAGGAACACACCAGCAGGTCTAACAGCCTCACTTCCCAGAAGATTTGAGATTAAAAAGCTACTACAGCACCTGAGGGCTACATTAGGAGCTACAAAGCAGCTGTGCTGTTGTTTCTTTGGCATCTTATGCCATCCCTTCCACTATACAGGCCAAATACAAAAGCTGTGATCCTAGGGAAGGTCCTTTTCTTAGCACACAAGTACCCCCTGAAGCCCGAGGACAGAATCTGCCTCACTGTGCCTTTTGTGAAGAAACGTAGTTCAGACTCTTAACATTTGTCCTCTGGGAATAACCTGTAAGCTCCTTTACAGTGGTTGGGTTGCTTGGTTGGGCTTTTTTAAGATCCTTAATCACCATTAGTCATGGAGCCTCTAAGACTCTGATCCACAGATTTTGACTTGCTCTTCTGCTTAGGTCAGGGAGAAAATGTTTTACAATCAGATCCCGCTGAAACTGATGAGATTTCACCAGCTGAACTGAAGATAGTTCTTGGTTCAGCAATTGTCCTATTTGTAGTAGTGACCAATTTTATTTTCTTCATTTACTTTCAGCTGATTATGAAACTCCCAGCCCACAGAAGACCATTGCCATTAAAGCAAAAGATGTCACTGCCAATTATATTCGTGGAAGCTAAAAACCCACCAAAGCAGCCTGCTTTATTCAGTTTGATTCAACAATCGAAGTAGGTTGTAGCTTGAACAACTTTATTAGACCCTCCTCATGTAATCGCTTTGCTTACAGATTTCAATTTACTCATGTTGTCAAAATTATAATAAAAATAAAGAATATCAGGGGCTATGCTTGACTTTTTTCCCATCCAGTATTTTTCATGATAGCTGAAGGGAGCTGGATTAAAACACAGGACCTCCACTTTCCAGCAAGTCAAGTGTTACTTTTGATAGTGCAAATATATCAAGACTAAACTTACCCCTCCGCTGTGCACACAGCACCCACCTGCACACAGCACTCAGTTGTATCACAGGGCCACCAGCTCGCTAGTGTGACATCTACTTCAAATAATGCTGAAGCAGTTAAAGACTGCCATTAACTCGATGTGATTAATTTTGCAATACATAAGCCGACATCAGCACTAATGCCAGCATCCCAGCAGTACTTAATAAACACATTTTAGCTCTAAATTTTTGGAAAAGTTGAAGGTGAAGGAGAGCAACAGCAGTTCTGTCTGCAGTCCAGGTCACACCCTTTTACTGTATACTGGGAGCACTAGCCAGGGTGTCAGTTTGTGCAAAAGTGATACTTTTTGATACATTGATATATTTTAATATTTGTTTTGTATAAGCTCGGCTTTTTCGTGTTATCAACATCCCTTAAGGCAGGCTGGCCAAGCTTCACGTAGCATCAACGTGTGGGTGACCCAAGGTAGTTTGTCTTATTTTGATGGTATCATGATTTGCCATCTTTCACTTCTGACTTTCTTTTATACTTTAAATATAGATATCCTCGTTGAATTGCATTTGCAGTATGATCATATAAAGTGCCAAGATGGATCTTGCACTGTCAGAGAAACATAATGAGCCTTGGCCCCTATCACACAGAATCTTAGGCAGATGCCAGCTTTTCTTCATAAGTCCCTGCACAGGAATGAAGCCGTTCATGTCTTTCATTGAATTAGGACTTTGCATTATAGACAGTTACACAGGGCGACAACATAGTTCATTGTGGACTCAAAAACCACTGAGAAACGACATATATTGGAGAACATAATGGCATACAGCATATATGAGAGGCAGTCTGAAGATATTTTGATCTGAATACTGAAAATGACACAACAAAGCCACTTAGTTTTTAATGACTGATAAAATCAAATACACTCCAAATCCACTTTACTTGAGCCACCAGTGAATAACAGGAAGCAGCATACATGTGTTGTTATGCCTTTCCCTGCACATTGCCCCACACATGGAAAAATCCTTCCCAACATTTACTTGACAAACAATTCCTCAATTAATCTCTGGGAAAAGGCCATTTGGCATGTATCACCTGCAAGATTTTGATCAAAAAATCTGGATTAAGACATTGCCCAACAACTACCAAAAAAGAAAGGCAGATGATGCTATACTCCCCTTTTTGTTACAGAATGTAGGCTCCTCAGAGCCTCGGGTTGTTGTTAACTGAATGCTGTCTAGCTATGGTCACTCTTTGACATGAGGGAAACACAACCTCCCCCTCATTCTTGACACGTAAGAGCAAGCAGATTCTCTTATGATTTGTGAAAAGAAGAGGGAAATTACAAATTATTTATGCATTTCTTCATAGCAACCCCCTAATAGGTTTTCAGGTATCTTTCTGTCTTGTGTGCTGTAATTACAGATAGTAGCTTCTATAAATCATCAAATGAATCCTACAGCATAAAAATATACAACATGGCATCAGATCTCTGCTGTTTTCTAGTGATGCTTCAGGTATGAGACGACACTGCTGGCTATCCTGCTGTGAAAGTGTTCTTTATAAATGTCACTGACAGAGATAACCCTGGTGAAATTATGAGTCTACAATCATACTATGATGTGAAAGGAAGGAATTTTTTTTAAGTTTCTTATATGTCATTCCAAGTTCTTGTTACTACCAAACTTGGATTGTAGGTTCAAATGATCCAGTATATTTCATAAAAATTAGATTCCTATTGAGATGTTTATTCATTGGAATGGAAATAGTTTCTTACAAAATCATCAAGGTATTCCAGAGTGGGGAAGTGGCTGGAAAAGAAGGAAGCACCTAAGCATAACTAATGAATTCCCAGCAGCTTTTCTCTCTATCCCTAGCAGACAGAAAAATCACTGAAAAGATTATTTTTGTGAATTTCTCACAAGAAGGCAAATGCAGCACAAACAAAGCACTTCTAAAACAAAGTGCTTTCATATCAGGTGCTAATGCTCTTGTGAAGAAATCTCTCTCTACTTTTACGTAGATTGCTGCTAGCTACCGACATTCCTCCAGCACACCTTGCCAGCCTGAACACTATTGACGCGTTAACAGCTTTCACCATCCCAGTGAGACAGGAAATTGAGAACATGAAAGACTAAAGGCTTCCACAACTGCTTGTCTGTGCTAGGGTTCATAAACTTATTTATCTTTGTATTTATCCCCTAGTCTAGTAGTTGCTATATTAAATGCACATGAACATATTTCCAACTGCTTTTCCTAAGAAAACCAGAACCAGAAAACAGATTTAATTATCTACTACTGCAGTAGATATCACACCTCTATTTCCATGTAGGGATTTGTAACGTTTGCTGTTAGGAAGACTCAGGATGCAGTCAGAGGGTACACATAAAACAACCTAACAGCCAGCTGCTGCATAAATGGACGTTTCTACTCCCCCCCACTCGCTATGCATTCCCATCACCCTGCCTTTTGTTATCACCACCACCTGTCTGATGTCTCAAGAGACAGTTCAGGAAGCAAAATCAGCAGAAAATTAGCTCTGGAAAACACAAGGAAACTTTCCTGCCACTCAGCTCCCTGATTCAGGCCAACGGCAGGGTCAGACATCCATCAGTAGCAGCACAGGGATGGGAGGGGGGGGAAGAACAGTCAGGGCTGTAAAGCCCAGCCACCTCCCCCAGGCAACAGCTAGTCACCAGGGCAGATTAGCTGTACTGTCAAACCATACGTGTACTTTATCCTCCTCCTCAGCCAGGCACAGCTTCTTCCACATCGCAGCTTGAACACATGCTGCTGCATCCTCGGGGGAAGCAGAGGGTGCCAGCCCAATGCTAGCCCCTGCTTCATTTCAGATTTCACACTGAGTAGCAGCATACCACACCAGCTAGGAACTGATACTCTACCCTGTCATCTCACTGCTTGCATCTTAGCATAAGCATTATTATACTGAATCTACTGTTAAAAGATTATTTTTAAGGTGACTTCAGGCTGTGTTAAATTTCATACTTAAACCAAACACCATACGCTGCTGCTACCAGTGCCTGCTTTCAGATGTCAATTGCTAGTGGAGAGATGGGCATGGTAACACTTCTCCCTTCTGGTCTGAAATTACAGAAACCCTTAGCACCCTAAAGCTGACAGGGAGGTTAAGCTCCTAAAGAGAACCAGGGCCCATGCTGCAGCAAGGACTCCACAGGAACCCTTCTGCAACCTGCTTAGCACCTAAGGGCACCTTCTCCGATTTCCTTAAGCAGGCACCTGCCTAAGAGTTACCAAACGAAGTGTTCTTCTGCTTGTGCTCTCCAAATATCAACGCAGTCTGTAGTGCTATCACCTTCATATTGCAGAATGGAGATAATTAGGTACAAAGAAGTAAGGGTACAACATGACTGGAAATGGAAGTCTGCTCCTAACTCTTGCCCAGGTTTTGCATCATCACCCACAACTCACTTCAGCTCTCCTTTCTTCGGTTTCCCCCCACCAATTGTGGCTGCAGCAGGACTTGCCCTGCATGCAGTAGTGCTTCATTCCTCAAGCTTTATGAAACACACCAAGAAGCACAAGGAACAGTATCAGCAAGACTCATCATAGCTACAGGATGGAGACAAGAGGTGGACAGGTACTGCCGCATGCCCCAACAGGCACGCTGCAGCACGCACTACTGACGTGGGGAAAGAAAGAGACAAAGTCCTCAGAGTCCTCCGGGTAAATCTGTACCTGAGCACAGGCATTCAGAGCACTGCACCTTGCCAAAGGCTGGTCACGCAGGTCAGTGATGTATAGTGCAGCAGAAAGCTGTCTGCTGAGCTCATGCTCCCGTCGTGGCAATGTCGCATTCTGGATATATTCCTTGCATTGCAAACATTACTTCTGCCAGTCCATGCCTGCGAGCCATTTTTCAGCCAAACATCCTCTGCCTAAGTATTAATGATCGTTGAATTTGAGAGAGGAATTGAAAAAACCAGAAATACAAACCGTTTTTTTTTTTCCTGCATCTAACATTTTACACAGCAACAATCTTAACCATAAAAGCTAATGCAGTGCATTTGCAGAGAACTACAAATGCTGTGCATCAGCGCGTTTTCACAATTTAACATAGAAATAAAACTAGAGGTGGGAGGCAAATCCAAGCATAACTGCATAACTAATGCTTCCTTTAAAGCGCCAGCTGAGACGTGTCTTTAAATCTGGATCTAAGCCTTCTGAGGCCTAAAATGTTGCTGCTATTTTCCACGGTTTCCACTGAGTCTGTTCCAGATTTAACAGCTGAAATGTTTCTTGGTACTCTGCTCCTGACAGGTATTAAGTTTCTAATCCAGAGTTGGTCATTCCAGCCTTGCAGGACTGCATTTGCAAGGGACAAGTGACGCAGATGCTAAAAGCAGTAAAAAGGCATCGGGTTCACATTCTTCAGCCCAGTACTAGGGGTTGTCCCATAATAATGCGATGAAAATATTTTACCAGCTGCTGAAATGCAAAAAAAGCGTCACTTAGAATCAAACACAGCACTGTACTTAGCAGCCATTATTAGCTTATCTACCACAAAAGCTGAGGGATACGAATTGTCTGCTTAGTTGCATATTTTTATCAGTGCTGAGCATGCAAGTCCCGCCGTGGTGCAGTGCAGAGGTCCATCAGCTTCCTGGGCAGTCACGGAGTACAAACACAAGGGAAGGCAGCGCTTCAACAAAAGGAAAAACTCTCTTCTACACCGAGCTCTGCTCCGTCACATGTTTCGTGCAACCTTCCATCAACCAAAGGGGACAGTAGGAGCAGGAAGGGGGGTCCAGGCACCAAGAAGGTGCAGAAAATGAGACTTAGCTACCAAATTTGCTCTCTGCTTCCCTAATTATTCCTGTCACCAAATGGTGGTATTGCTGGTGTCACCAGATGAACTCTCATGTTTGCAATTTTTAGTTCTCAGGGCTTGTGGGATCAAATCCTGTAAGTGCACAGAATGACAATGGTGGTATAGAAATACAGGCAGAATGCAGCATTGCAGACATAAAAGAAGTTTGAAATAAATCTCTCAAACACAGAACACTCAACTGCAGTGATTCAGTTACTCACAGCTACAAAACACTTCACAAAGACGTCGAGTATTTGACCTCTTTCTGCAATATGACAATGGCACCTCCCCTGTTTATTCAAGCAAGCAAAGAATTACGGATGGAAAACACTAAACAAATATTTTCATGGACACAAATTAAAGAGACTGTCCAAAGTTCAGGAAAAAAATTTCATTTCTATGTTAAGATGTACACATACATACAATGATTTCAAGAGAAAATATCACAAAGCATAATATGATAGTAAATAAATCAATACAAACATGCTTTTTTTTGTACTATTACAGTGCACACCTATGCTTATTTGATGGGTGACTGTCAGTTGGGCTTGCACTTCAGCAATAGGAACACCTCCTTTGGATGGCTGACCAACAAACAAAATTAAGTTTCCTGTAATTATTTATGACTCAGGCCAAGGCTGTTTTTCAAAATGCCCTGCCTCAAAACTTTTGATGATGCATTCTGAAGCTACAGCGAACTTTTTAAACATTCGTTTTTCTCCCCAGAGCTAAAGGCCACTGCAGTACCCAAAGCTAGTGGTGACAGTCTGCAGACACCTACTGGGAAGTGCTTTTTCCCAGCAGATATTCCTTAGGCCTCACTATGAATCAGGAAAGCAGAGAGGACGCTCGTACCACATCCGGACATCCTAGACAGAGTGGTGTTTCAAGTCTTACTAACTTAACCACACCATTTCCAAGATGAAAGCCAAATTACTTCCTTGCATCCTTTACAATGATAGCGTAAGTGCACAGCCCTTTCTAGGCTGCAGGGAAGGCCGAGCCTTAGTCACCTCAGCCCACGCCGTTTCACTTCAGGGTGGGGAGCGGAGCACTAACCGAGCCGCCGCTTAACAGGCTGA